ACGAGAGCTCCTGTTTTCAATAATGATTAAATGAGTGCAGGTGAGAATAAATTGGTTCGCTGACGCGGTGATTTGCCTTGTAATTTAAGAGTGATTTACTTCAATCAAACTTAATTATCTCAACTTTCCAAGATTATTAGCACAACAGGAAAACTTGTGTGAAAATTAAATTATTTGAAATACAAAATTTGAAAGTTTCTCTTTTGTAAAAAAAAAAAAAATTACTGAAAGTGAAGCAATTTAATTGTAAAATAAAAAAGGCTTGAATAGATTTCTTTTCCTTTTTCTGTGATGGCCAAGAGAGGTAGCATTATATTATTTTCTTCCCTTGATTTCTGTTTTAAATTTATTTTTGGATGCAGTTTTCGTCGGCCGTGTATTTTTTTTATAGCACCGTCCACAACAAAGGGCGCATGTTTCACAAGCGGTGTTTTTTTCGGCCCGCGTTCGTCATTAATTTGGATCGGCGCTTCGTGGTGGCGGCGGATGTAGCACATCATTTTATAAAAGAGCCAGCAAGGGGCTCTGCTTTTTGTATTATCCGTGCGCGACGGTTCATTAGGGAGCGAGTGGCGCGGCGACAAGTGAGCATTTCGTGATTGATGGCGCCTTGCTGGATGGACCTTTGTGCGTGCGGAACACGTCGCCGACGAGGAGCACGTGAGGTCCATAGCCAAAATCCAAAATGGTCGCTCTCAAATTAGGCGGAAAGAACAAACGCTGATCAGCTCGTGACAGATCAATTTGAAATTTTTCGTGCGTTCTGAAAAAAGGTATTTTTCTGGAGAAAATAATGATAACTGCGGTTAAAATTAATTTAGTTTGTGCCGTTTATATTTTTCACCTTATGATTAAACTTCGATTATTTTTATATCTATTTAAAATAAAATTGATAGAGCTTGAACAGTGTAAATGATAAAATTAATATGATTAAATAAAATGTACAAATTTTTTTAAAATTTTAATAACATGCTAAAAATAATTTCTTGTTAGCGTCAACGAAAAATTTTCTTCACAGGCCATTAAATTTGCATTAGCATGTTACAAAAATTTCACTTAAAAGCACAACGAGCAAAAACGTCAACTGCTCTCCTGCTTAAAAATTCCATTCAGCGTTGCGGAGACAAGTGCTGCTGGCAAACGGCAGTTTTCTCGCAAGACGCTGTCTCTCTCTTTTCTTTTTCAATAAGAAACTTTCCTGCGCCGCCAAGTGAGTTTTTTGTCTCTTGCCAAGGGGCAGATGCAGAATAAATCAAATGACATGATCTCGCGGCGCTTTTTATTCAAACGGCATATTTCCCATGTGAAAACGAAACCTGCGAGAACTGAATTATATACATTTCTCTGCACTATTATCTTTGAGAGACAATGTTCACTGCAATTGCAATCTGAGAGAATCGCGGACACACCCTCGCTCTCAGCTGCAAAGAAAGAAAACTTCTTCGGCCTTTCATATTATAAATGCTCGGAGCGAAATAGGGCGATAAATTTCCATGTTAATGCCAGTTAAGGTCACCCTGGCATTAAACATTAATATAACTTGCATTAGCACCGCATATAGTATTTTCACGCACTGATGCAACTTGTGATTCTCTCCCTATTATTGAGAGTGAAGTCATCTCTCTGTGCACTTGAAACAATGAGTGCATATGTAATATAAATTTGCGTTTAGAGCTATAATTCCATTTGTAATGAAGAGAGAGAGAGAGGGTGTCGCTGCTGGCGAATTATCAAGTCATTATGTCACTGCAGTTGCGTCACTTGTGCACAATTCAATTGTTTGTTTATTTATGTTCTCCATTATTTAAATGCTAATTCACAGCTACCCGTGAAAGACTAGATTCTAAAGAAAGATATTCAGGTGCGTGTGTTTAGGTATGAATAGGCATCTCTCATCTTTTAGGAGCAAAGTTTTGTCGTAAAGAGATAAAGAGGTTCGTTGTGTAGCTCAATTGACGGAACAACTTTTGACATTCAGGCCACAAGGCAATTTAATTGTCCCACTTGAGAACGTTAATTTTGATCCTTAACCTTTGCAACTCAAATTTTGAGACCCTTCATAACCAGACTTGATAAGTAAAAAAAAAAAATTGAAGAAAGAAATGAAAAAATTGTGCTAAATTAGAATAATATTTTTAAACTTAAGTTTCTTTCAATTAAATCCTCTTGTGTTTATTCAAAAGAATCACTCTCAAATAAATCACCCCGGGCGACACGTTTTTAATTAATCATAACAGGAAAAGGTAAGGAGAACCCTAAAATTAATTTTGATTCACATTGGCTACTCTCTAAAGCTCCTCCCTGCCTTTTTCTATTTATTAAATTATACTGATTTACCAAACCCATCGCAGCGCCTCTCTTTTTAATTTAATTATCCTTGCGCGTTCGTGCCTGATTCAAGCCTCCCACAGAGTGGAAAGGCTGCTAATTACAAATTTGATATAACAAAACCTCCTCTTTCTTTTTGTATTGTGTTGATTCACTGACCACGCGAATCGGAATCAAAAAGCACTGATGACTCACTTTAAATTAATTGAAGTTGGCTGTGGTGAAATTTAAACGGCCCCGTTGGTGCTAACCAGTGAATGTACCGGCGAGAGAAATCCATTTGCGAAAAAAAAACAACATGTACAGCCGAGTTGAATGGGGAGTGCAAAATTTGAGGCTGCGTGAAATTCAACACAAAGGAACATGAATAGTAATTGCGGCACCAAACAGCGTGCACGTCACTAAACTTTATTTAGATTTGTTTATAGGACGGAAATTCAATCCTTATTTTATTTAAAAAGAAATTCTTTGAATGCCTGAATTTTTTCAATGTTTTCAAACAGAAAGAAGTGCAGGAAAATGTGGTTTTTCTTCAAATCATCACGTCCAGCGTTGAGTTGTAAACAAAACAGATAAAGCAAATCGGTTTGCCAGGTGTGCGTGCCTCTTGAAAATTTTCCTCTTCATAATTTTTTTCTTGTATATTCAAAAAGTAAAACGTCTCGGTCTGTTTTTTATTTTCCTTTCGAGGCACGGCTATAGGCTTGAAGCAAAACAATTTTCAGCACTCGTCTCGCTAACTGGTAGCGTCGGATTTTTGCAAGTGGTGCTCAGGTGCGCTGAAAACCGGAACGCATTTCAATATACGGCTGCGTGTTTGTGTCATTTTCGCGGCGCAACGTCTGCCGCGGATTTAGAGAGGTCGGCGGCTGCCGGCTTTCTTTCCGTCTTACAAAAAATGCGGGCGTGCCCCAGTGGAGATAACGGAGAGTAATGAGCGAAAATGAATCTCAGCGCGGCTGGATTTATTAAAAAGGGACAGCCAGGCCGAAAAAGGAGTGACGTGTCAAGTCAGATTAACGTGCAAAATCAGGGCGTGTGTCATGCACGCGAATTTATATTTTGACCCAGAAAATGAATATAAATGGGCGCCGTGTTTTTGGCAAAATGAAAAATGATGGTTATCTGAATGGGGCAGCTCAAATTTATTGCCCAGGTGGGTTATTTATTGTTATATAACAATATTGGCGGGTCGGATCAGCGTTTTTCTCAATGGAGCGTGAAGGCAATGTGCAATTTAACTACTGCCGTGTATAAGTGAATCACCGCGGGCTAAAAGAAGGGAGCGATGATTTCATTCATGCGAAAAATATTCATTGTGTATTTTCCTGAAAATTTCATTGTATATTGAATAAAAAAAAAATGCGTATTGAAAGGAGGGGAACTTAAGCATCTCATGCGGAACATGGGCTAAAATTATTTTTATGACAATTTTTACGCTAAAATTATTGTGATTAATTTAAATTTTGCCAGTAGGAAGATAAATACAGTAAGAAATTAACTAAATAAAAAGCTTAAATTATTATTTTTAAGGGAATTTGTAAATTTATTATTATAAGAAAACACTATTTTTGTTTTTTAAAAATCCAAAAAAAATCATCATTTTCAATGAACAGATCATGAGATGAAATTATGAAGCTAGAGTTTTTCTTTATTGACTTTATAGTTTCTTTTTTAAATTTGTACAATTTCCTAATTGCAATATTATTATCTTATTTTATAAAAAATAATATTATTTAGTTAAAATTTTTGAATTCAAAATAATTTCCATTAAATTTATTTCATTGTTTTGGAAGTAATTAGAAGTGTTGGAGAAATCCGTCCCTAAAACGCGTCTGTTGTTTATTTTTGGGCACATTATTCATCTTAATAGTCGTACATATAAACAAAACATAAACACACAATCTCCTGCAGTAGCTGAAGCATCGTCTTCCTCTCTCTCACGCTTGATTGATGAGGTTCCGCCTCATTTTTATATTTTCTTATCCCCTGCCTAATTTTCTACATTTTCTCATGCATCAGTCATTCATATCATAAATCCAAAGCAAGATTGTATCTGGGAAGAAACGAGTTCATTAGCGAAAAAAGCTGAAGCGCATTGACTGCCGCCGAAAACGCCGCGACGAGGACAAAATCAAATTAATAAGGCTCGACGGCGAACTAATTGGCTGTAAAACGAGACGCGACGCCAGTTCGACAAAAATCGGCGTCGTCTTACCTGCTCAATAATTTAGCCGGTAAATTATCCCCCGAGTGCAGCCAGGAAGATAAAAAGTCCCTCGCTCATAAATATTTACCCCAGAGATTTATGGCCCGGGATGTTTGCCCCCGGAGGAGAAAAGCAAAGTTCGTACGACGACCGAACTTGACTTTGAACTTGCGTGCCTAGTAAAAGAAAAATATACTATAGTGTGCGAATTGAGCCGGCGGTTTTTTAAATGTGATTGTTGCTCCGTGCGAATTCCCATGATAATTTAAGTGCCCTTCACACTGATTTATAGAATCGCAAACTAATAATTATTATGTGTTGAACGGAATTCTAAAACTTTGAGAGAAAATATAATATATAAGTTTGTTAACCTTAACTAGACAAAGGAGCAATAGTTGGAGGAAAAAGGTTTCCGGTGTTGATTCTTTATTATTCCTGGTTACTCGGTTGTTTTTTTTCTTACCTATGCTGCGGTACGTAATCCAATCTGAAAAACGGGATCGGGTGTCGCTCTCTTTTTTCCGTTTTGTGTACAAATCCGCGCTGTATTCACGCCGCCATAAAAAATCACTGGGCAAAAAGCACTATGCTAGAACACTCTCGTTGTCGCACCACCGCAGAAGAAATCGGGGTGTCGATGTTGCTGCTGCGAAGCCACGCGACGAACTGAGCCAGCAGCGGCCCAAGCCGCGCTTCCAAAGCGCCGTCTCTCGCTGCTGGCGGCGTCTCTCCAAACTGATAAAACATATCCTATTCTGCAACACGCCTCGCAAGGTGGATTGGGTGGACACCAACATTGTACCTGATACGATAAACAATGACATTTCAAACAAAAATTGTATCTGCTATTTATGTTTATTTTCAATTATTATTTTATTTATAAATATGTTTTTTAATAATTATTTTATTTCATGATCCATAATTATTATTTTTTTTTTCAAAAATCGGCCACACAACTGGTGATGTTTTATTTTTCATAAAAATTTGATCAATTATTAATTATAAGCTATATTTTTTTATTGTCTATTCAAAAATAAATAAGGTTCAGAGCCTGCTAGTTTTGTAGCGTTTGATTTGAACTCTGAGGTAATTGCGCTGCCATTGACCTTCTCTTTTTAAGTTTTGATGTTCTTTTTATTACTAAAAATTCAACGATTTACTATTTCAAAATAATAATAACACAATATGAATATGAATGTGAATTGCAAACCATACACAAATAAATGATTTTTGTGTGGGACTTTCGCAGAGAAAATGACAATAATTTTTATTTATACCTTTAAATTTCTTACTCAGTCTGGAAATAATTTTCGCTGCGCATATTATTGAATAATTTTGTTGTTGCACAATCGGTCAATAACACCAATTGCAATTTTGTTTTTATTATCCCACGCGCGCAGGCATGAATAGGCACTTCGCTTGCGTGCATCATAAATAAAATTCAATGTTGCCCGTGCGCGATGTATTAAATTAATTTAAGTTTCCGCTTGATTGGCCAAATTTAATAACCCACTCAGTCCGTCCACCGCAGCATGAGCGTCTGTGTTCGGCGTTGATTGATTTTTCGGACCGATGCGGCCACTTATCTCTCGATTAATTTGAATCATCAGTCCATGTTATTCTTATTGATTACTCTCCCATTAAATCATCAAATGTGAGGGAGAGCGTGCGTTCGGCATTGAATTATATCGCGTTAAAAAAAAATGCGGAACCCAACATTTCCATACTGACAAGTGTTATTACTTCACTTGAATTCATTTTAGCATGGTCCGCAAAGGCCGGGCGTGTAATGATAAAGCGCCGTAATTGAAACTTCGGCGTAATTTCAGTGTATGCGACGGCGTATCATCCACACATCGATGTAAATAACATAGACGCCGGCGGAATATTTTACAGGTGCTGCGAACAACCCATGCATGATGTTTGCAAATTTATCCACGTGACGTCTCAAAATCCAATTTTAAAGAAGTGGCTTATTGAATATTGTTGAGTTACATCATAATAAAAACAAAATATGCACAATATGAACAAATAACGAAATTTAAATTTGAAAGATGTTTGTGAAACGGGTTCTCGTTAAAATTTAAAATTGAAATGTTAAACTATTATTCTTACAAAATATAATATGAGCATTATTAAAAGTTCCAATTTGTAGGGGTTTACATTTAATGAAAATTGCTAAAAAAAAAAACAGTGATTTAATATTTCAATATAATTTTAATATCAAAATATTTATCAAAATTGATAATTTAAATTATGAAATAACAAATTTTGTCATGTGTTTTAATAATTTAAAACCATAAATTTTCTTGCAAATTGAAAAACATTTATAATTTCTTTACAACTTTGGTTCTGGTTTACGAAACACTTACTATCGAGTCTATCGAACACTTGCAATTGTCGTCATTAAAGCACTCCAGAGCAATTACTCAACACTCTTAACAGCTCTCTGGCAATTATTCGGTGCTTATTATTCCCGTGCCAAGAGTAGACTCTTGCTCTAATTGGGCAACTGAATGTTTTTGGAACAAACCGCCCTTCGAATTTTGTGGATGGGCGTCCAAATGGAAAACAAGAGAGTGCGGTCAGAGTGGAAATGAAGCGATTCGGCCGTGCCAATTGAAATAACAAACACCTGGTGTCGGCCGATATTGACACATGGTCAAAAGGGGGGTGTGCATTATTCATTGGGCCTTTCATTTTCATTACGAGCGATGACAATTGAAAGCAGCGGGGGGCAGCGAGTCGATGGACCGAAAGAGAGCAATCAGTTCATAATTTATTGGCGCATCTGCTTGGAAACGCTTTTTTCCTTTCTGGCTTCCACGCGACTCCGAAAGTATATAAAGGTGTGCGGTACCCTCATCTGAATGACAACAGCTGAAACCCGAGCGGGAGAGATTTGTTTATAAGAGAAAGAGAGCAAAACGAGTTTTGTATTATGTGATTAGGATTTAATTTGCATTTTGTGTTTGTCTCTTCCTCAGCATCAAGTCTACGGGAAGTTTTTTTTTCTTTTTTACGTTTCAATGCTGGAGGGAGTTACGTGACACTGTTAGACAAAAAGCCCTCCAGCATACCGAGAATCTGATTCTATACATCATGGCGAGTTTGTTCTTTGTTGGGACATCAATGAGCTTCTTGGATTACTTTTATCATTCTGTCAACCCAAACATGTTGCGATGCAGATCGTGTTTCGCCCAACTGACAGAAAAGGTACAAAAAATAAAAATGTAGAAGAAACTCGTGCGGAAAAGTAATTAACAACTCAAGAAAGAAAGGCTAATCAATACTAATAAAAAAATTATTATTCAAGATTCAGTACTTTGACTATTTTCTAAACAAAAACGTAAAATTAAATGAAATATAAACTATAGATTTATATAAATATAATTTCTAAAGAAAAAAGTTTGTGTTTATTGTTGAATCTTCAACCTGCAGGCCTATAAAAGGTAGAAAATGTATAGAACTTGGCTCTTGAAGAAATTTCTTGTTTATTTATTTATTTATTTTTCTGACGAATATTTATAGATTTGATTTAAAAATTAAATTTAAATGTTAATAAAAGTTTTTTATCCCATTAAATAATTAGACACAAACATGAACTGGTTTTTAAAAATGCACAAAAATTTTTAAAAGAAACATGCAGTGTTTTAAAAAAAAAGAATGCAGTACTTTCTCGAGTTCTCGTGCAATTCAATGGAAGAGAACTTTGCCAAGTATTCAAATAAGGAGTTAATCAAAGTGGGACATCTCAAGAAAGACTAAAGTATCTGGCCAATTTTACAGCCCGCAAAGTGTGCAATTTAATTACAATTCAGATCTGAAGATTGCGATGAGAATCGTCTTTTATGGCTCTTTTTCTCTTTCTCTCAACGACCCACGCCATCACCTGACAAGAAATGGTCCAATAAAAGCTGCAAGGTGAGTTCACCCTTGGGCGGCACTTTGATTAATTAGCACCGTGACGTCAGGAAAATCTGGCCAACGGCCGTAGTGACAGCAATTTCGCCCATGCGAAATGTTATCTGCTGTTTGGTGACGTCACTCCTTTTTGCTCAAACGATGAGTCGCGCCTAATTTGATTTTATCCGGCAGCAAAAGGGATGAGAACGGATGATTCACGCGTCGGCGGCCCTGACTGCAGATAATTCAAATGGAAAGGGCCTAATGGTGTTGCCGCGGCGCGTCTGACTGGCGCAGAGTGGAGCACGAAGTGAAAAATGTGCGTTTAATGGCTTTTGCGTTGGCCCAGGTGAAAAATAATGCAGCGACTTTTTCATATGTGCCGCCCCTTTAATCACAATCTACCGGGATAATGTGTTTTGCCGGTCGATTGATGCGCAAAACCGTTTGTGAGCTAAGCTGGGGTAAGCCTGAAATATTGGATGAAATGAAAAGTTTGCACGCTTTTTCTTTACAAATGAAAAATGCTTAAGTTTTGTACGACAGAAATAACAATATATGCAGCTAAGTAATTAAATTTATGGATTATTTATTATTCATAAAGTGAATTTTTTTTATGAAAATTGTAAAGAATTGCTCGATGTTATTGAAACAATATAAATAAATTTAATTTTTTTTTTCAAATATATAATTATGTCTTTAAATGCCATTCTTTTAAAGCTTCAAATAAAATAAAACCTCTTGCGTTCAGCGAAGATCACAGCATCATATTAAAAACTATTTGGCCTAATAAATAACAAAATTCTTTTCAAAATTAACACTAGTAATTTTTAACCTCTACTGGATTAGGTTAGGGCAATCAGAATTTTTTTATTGTACTAAAAATTGATTTTAATCTGAACATGTTTCGATATTTAAAGGCCTGTGTAAACTATTCTTGAGGAAAAAAATCCCATTTGTCTTCATCAGTGACACATATATTCGTGTTTCCCTCTTGAGCAAACCGACCTTTCCTCTAGATTGAATGCGTCTCGCCGCACCTAACGTGAAAATGCGATTTTTTGCCCTTTATCGCGTGTGCCTGTTATTTCATCTCTCCAGCGGCAAAAAGTCGCCAAAGAGACGCGCAGCAGCCGCGTGTGTGTTTTCTATGATGCAACACCAATCTCTTTCTCTCTCCGAGGCCATAAAACGTCCCGATTCCAAATCTAATTTGCCGCTCAGAGGAATTCGTCCAGCAGTCATAACGAAGTGACGTCGTTCGGTCCTCTCGGAGGAGGGAAAAGAATTAGAAAGAAGGAAGGTATGACGTGGCCGGGATGCTGAGCAAACTCCTCGTTAGGGACAAAAGCTCTAGAATGAGCGTTAGACGCCATCCTCAATTTAAATCTCGTTAAAGTGGAGGAGAGGCGAAAAAACGCTCAAGTGGATCGCAGCTGATTATCACCGAGTTCAGATGTGCGTGCCGAGGCGAGAAAAAAGTTAAAGGGCCTAATTTAAATATTAGCACTGCGGTCCAGAATAGGCTTGGCTGCAATTAACTTTTGAAAATTTCTTCTCCTCACAAAATAGGATATGTTTGCTCAAGCAAAACACACCTTCTGTGCAAAATCTTGCATTCATTATTAGAGAAGAAAAGACGGTCAAAAATTCCTAGAAATGATGCAGATGAGAAATAAAATTTAAAGGAAAAAATATAATTTTTATGGATATTGTTTTTTTGTTGAAATGCATGTGATGTATAAAATT